TGACCGCTTCCTTTTTCTGAGCCTGGCACCACTTCTGCAAAAGCCGGGGTCAGAAACTCAGTTCTTACCCTTTTGTTCCTGCCTCCTTCCCATGCCCTTTACATCTGCTCATCTTTCGAGTGAGGGTTCATCTCGGGGAAACAAGGCTGAGACTCAGAAAAACCTCTCCTCTTCAAGAATGGCTCAGTTACAGTCTCTGGTTAATTTCCAGTTAAACAGAAACTAAAATATTAACAGTACTCCATTCTTGAGTAGACTTGTTAATTTTTAGACATGGAACATACATCTCTGTAATGCTTTTACAATCAACAATATAAATGCCACATCATCTCCACATTTGCTGTCATCAGATTATCAAAGTAACCAAAATAGATACTTAGTTTGAACATTTAATCTGTAATATATTCTCCCAAGAGTCAACAAAGACTAAAGTGATGTAACATTTTTCATATACAGTAGTAAAATTTTCTTCTACCAAGAAAAGAATTTGAGAACTACTTTAGAAATCCATCTGCTGGTTTGGCAGTGGACAGACCCCCAGTGAGAGAGTGGAGCCGGGACCCCAGCTTACTAGACTTCTGTCGAGTTTCAAAGCCTGGGGCCAGCTGACCTCCCTGACAGGCAGCAGCCCCCCAGCCCAATTCTCACTTCTCTCCAACAGCCGCATAGATCTTCAGCAGAGAAGATCTTGCAGATAAGTGACGCTTGCTTGTTTTCAGACCTGAGTTCTCTTTAGGCTGCCTGGATTGGATAGACACGTCTCTCAGCTGTCTGATTCTCTCCTTTCCACAACAGATCGCTTGGGAGGTACTTGAATCATTTCCGGGAACCTACATTTCTCATTGTGAATTTCAGAGCTGTTCTCAGCTTCTCGAGTTGTATGGAGCCATTTATGTGCATGCTTCAGGCCTTTGGACCACTCTGTCTGTTTTCATAGCAGTGTTCTGTCCTCTCCATGTCCATCCCTGCTCCCAGTGGCCCCGCTGGTTAGCCTAGCATAGCCCATAGCCACAAAGTGTCCCTGAAACTAAAAATGTCTACATTTCCTGAGCACTGGCTAGGTGTCAGGCATGTCATCAGTTATTTGTGGGCATTAACCCATCTACTCCTTACAGCCACCCTATAACAGAGGCGCTGGCACAAAAGCCCCTCTCTGACATGAGAAACCGGAGGCCAAGCTTGGGAGGCGCAGAGCCGGCCGGCGGCAGGGCTGGGACTGAGGGCAGGCAGCACCTGACCCCTGGGGCCCGCCCTCCTTCCCACCTGCTTCTCCACCTCCCGGAACAAGCACCTCCTGCACAGGCTTGCCCCATCCGTCCATCTCTGTGAATTCTGGAGCAGTGTGTTTGTGGTTCCTCTTTGGAAGTACTGTTGTTCACATCAGAATATGAGAAAAATTAATCCATGGGCCCACTCTCTGCAAAAATATTAAAATAGACAATACACTGTCCTGTCTAATCAAGAAAATGGGGAGAAAGCACAGAAACAAAATTAGAGGTGATAAAGGGAAAATAAACACAGAGGAAGCCTGAAGAAGCTAGAAATAACATTTTACCTTTGTGCTCATGTGTATTTGTGCTACACAGTTCATAGTTTATACTAGATTTCCAAATGGAAATGTCAAGTATACCTTGTGTGTATGGGTCATAATCTGCCTCAACTGTGTGCTCGTCATGTGAATCCATAAGGTTGTCTCCAGCAGGCACTTCGGTTGTGGTGGTGGGGGGTGGTCCCATGTTCCTCAGGGACACTCACATTTTCCTCTGCTAGAGCAGGAGTCAGCAAACTTCAGCCCAGGGGCCAAATTGAGCTCCCCGCCCCTTTTTCTAAACAGTTTTCTTGGCACACAGCCAGGCTACTTTATTCACATATCATCTCTGGCTGCTTTTGTGCTACAAGTCTTTGGTCCACAAAGCCTAAAATAGTTACCATCCGGTCCTTTATAGAATAAGTTTGTGACCCCTGTGCTGGAGTCCTATAGTTTTTCTACTTTCAGACTAGATTCTACTTTACAGAGTGTCTTTTTTAAATATTCTTTTCTATTATGACATCACAATATCATGAAGGAATATTGAATATACCCTGTGATAAACTCTGTGCTATACAGCAGGACCTTGTTGCTTACCCACTCTGCATATAATAGTTTGCATCTGCTAATCCCACACTAGCTGTCCTTCCCTCCCCTGCCCCCACCCGGGCAACCACAAGTCGTCCTCTACATCTGTGACTCCGTTTCTGATTCATAGGCAGGTTCATTTGTGTCGTGTTTCAGATCCCACACACAGGTGATATCATATGGTATTTGTCTTTCTGACTTCACTTAGTATGATAATCTCTAGTTGTATCTATGTTGCCGCAAATGGCATTATTCCATTCTTTTTTACAGCCGAATAGCATTCCATTGTATACACGTACTGTACCTTCTTTATCCATTCATCTGTGGATGGACATTTAGGTTGTTTACATGTTTTGGATATTGTGAATAAAGCTGCTATGAACATGAGGGCGTGTATCTTTTTAAATTAAGTTTTGTCCAGGTATATGCCCAGGAGTGGGATTGCTGGATCATATGGTAATTCTGTTTCTACTTTTTTAAGGAACCTGTTTCTCCATAGTGGCTGCGCCGACTTACTTTACCACCAAGAGGGTAGGAGGGCTCCCTTTTCTCTACACCTTTCCCGGCATTTGCTGTATTTAGACTTTTTATTCATCGCCATTCTGACTGGTATGAGGCGGTACTTCACTGTAGTTTGATTTGCGCTTTTCTAATAATTAGTGATGTTGAGCATCTCTTCATTTGCCTACTAGCCATCCATGTGTCTTCTTTGGAGAAATATTTATTAAGTTCTTCTGCCCATTTTTCTGTTGGGTTGTTTTGTTGTTTTTGAGCTGTATTATCTGTTTGTATATTTTGGAGATTAAGGCCTTAGTTTTCTACTTCAATTTATTGGTTCAGAATTTCCAAACCAAGAGAATTCTGTGGCAGTCCAGTGATTGGGATTCCATGCTTTCACTGACATAGGCCTGGGTTCAGTTCCTGGTTGAGGAACTAAGATCCCACAAGCCATGTAGTGCAGAAGGAAGGAAGGGAAACAATTGGGGGGAAAAAAAAAAGAATTTCCAGATAAAGTAGATGGTGCAAATTCTGCCCTCACACATGTGCATGCTCCACCTACAGTCTCCCAGTTTCCTTCAGATGCTTTTTCAAGCCATGGCCTCTGGAGGGACAGCCTGGAGGCTTCTCTTTGGACCAGTGCAATTGCTGGTTTTAGGAATTCCTGGCTATACTGGTTTTCTTTTGCTGCATAGCAAATTATGGTTGTTTAAACACGAAGTTTAAGCTTTCAGTTCTGTCAATCAGAAGTCTGGCATGGTAAGAGTGGCTTCTCTGCTGAGGCTAAAATCAAGTTGTCAGCCGGCTACATTCTCATCTGGAGCATGGGGTCCTTTTCTAAGCTCAACCCTGTTATTAGCAGGATTCAGTTCTTTATGTTGTAGGGCTGAAGCCTCTATATCCTTGCTGACTGTGACCTCTCTCAACTCCTATGGGCCACTTTTGGGTCCTTGTACCACGGTCCCCTCCATCTCAGGATTGGAGAACCTCCTTTTCAAATCCCTCTCATATTTTGGATCTCTCTGCCTTCCTTCTCTGCCCCCAACTAAAGAAAACTGCTTTTAAAGCTCTGGTGACTACTGGAGAGGGTGTGGAGAAAAGGGAACCCTCTTACACTGTTGGTGGGAATGTAAACTAGTACAGCTGCTATGGAGAACAGTGTGGAGATTTCTTAAAAAAATGGAAATAGAACTGCCATATGACCCAGCAATACCACTTCTGGGCATACACACTGAGGAAACCAGATCTGAAAGAGACACGTGCACCCCAATGTTCATCGCAGCACTGTTCAAAGGGGGATCGGGATGGGGAATACATGTAACTCCATGGCTGATTCATGTCAATGTATGACAAAACCCACTGAAATGTTGTGAAGTAATTAGCCTCCAACTAATAAAAATAAATGAAAAAATAAATAAATAAAGCTCTGGTGACATTAGGTTAGGCCCAAGGAGTAATCTCACTTTCTTACAGTCTACTCTGATATATGACATTCCTTATGACAGGAGTAATATCTCAGCCTATCTGTAAGTTCCACCCATAATCAACGAGGAGGTCGTAATCAAGGATGAGGGTCATTGGTGTCATCCTGGAAATCTGCCTGTGACACTGAATTTTGCAGGAGCCTCGTGTCATCTACTTACCACACACAGGCCTCAGGCCTCAGTAACCAGCCCTGCTCAGGCTTATGAGACCCTAGGCATTTTGGAATACTGTAGACCTTATTCCTAACCCCCTCATGGGCCGTTCAGCTCCTTGCTCCCCCTCCCCATCCCTGCTCCAGCTTTCAGTTTCCTCTTCATTTTTCATGTCTGAGATTTTCCTTTTTTGATTTTTGCTTTCAATATTGGCAAATATTTTAAAATATTTTTGTTACATTATAACCAATATGTTTAAGTGCTTGGAATGGTTGGGGTTTATCCTTCAGCAGCATGTCAGCCGTATTTTCCAGAATTATAGTGTTATTAAACTACATTCCAAGATTATAACATCCACTAAAGTCAATGGATCCTTGGAGTTCTAACCTCAGTAAGGAGCAACTAGAGCTTTATGAGGAATTAATGGTTAATCAACTTGAAAACTTAATGATGTGTCAGGTCTAGGGGAAATAGTTTCCCTCTTTGCATTAACTCTGCTTACTATATCACTGGGAGGGCCAAGATGTATGAAAACCGATGAAAATAAATAGCAGTATCTTTCTGAGAACTAGACCTTGTCTAATAAAACAGTCAGATTAATGGGAAAAGACAGTTTCCCTAACTGGGTTATCTTGTCCAGTTACTTATTATTTTCAGATAGTTCATCATCACTAAATGCACAGTTATTCTGTTTTCATTTCAAATCTGTGAGTAGTTTTCAAAATTGTTGTTGTGGTGCTTTTCTTTAGATGTGGCTGAGCAGTATTTTCAGGATAGCATGGCTAATCTCAAGGATGCTGAAGGGATGGAGAAAGCCAAATTTCTTTCAATTCAAGATGATTACTGCCATTTCCTACAAGTCACTGGACAAGATGAGGTGAGTGAGTTTGGACCACAACTGGCAGTTATTTACTCAGGCAACCCAGTTGATACCCAAAGGGCGACTCCTGCACTCTGCAAACCTTAAGCACCTATTGTGTATGAGGCATGTGCCAGGCCCCACAGGGAGAGGGATACATAAGGTCAGGTAGCCAGCTCCTGGACAGGCACTCTTGGGGAACAATAAATTATGAGAACTTAGGTGTCATGTCCACCTGCAAAGCACCCTACAAGACTAGAAACCTTGAGAATCAGATGGACAGTCCCAGCTTATCACAACCTGTGGTTCTAGCTGGCATAGCAGGTAGCAATTAGTGTGTCTGATTATCTTGGCTAATGAATGAGATTTGCATATCTAATAAGAACTACACAGTGCAGAAGTTATGGCTCCCTGTCCATTGAACCATACCGGCAAGTTTCCCATGGCTGGTAAAAATGGAACCAGACTCAGTTTAGTGTCATTTAACTATCCCAAGGGTAGTTAAACCCTTGGGAACTTGTTCCATAATAAGCCTAACAGCTACAGGACAGCCACATGCTTGATTTATATAAATAAATCTGTATTTTCAACTCTAACCCATCAAAGTAAATCCTTGAGAGGAAAATGTTTTTAATTCCTCTGCTGTTCTATAGACCTCCTGCCCAGGAGCTCTCTCCCAACTCAATGCTTTACCCTTCTCTCAACTGATGTGAGCCTAAGGATGGATTTTCAATCTAATGTACCCGTGTTCCTCAGGCCAAATAGGGCTATAGCAACCATAATAAATGGAGTTTCCATATTTTTTCTGGATCACTCAACCAAGTAGAGAGGGACCTTCCAGGGGTCTCGGGTTCTAGAACATCTCTAGAAGCTCTGTGGAGAGCGCTCAGGGCAGAAGTCTGACAGGAAGTGTGCCCGTCATGCCTTACCCCTTCTAGCTGTCAGTCATCTTCAACTGCAGAAGGCCCTTGATTCCATCCATCGGTTGCCATCTCTTCTCTGCCAGTCATCACCTCCTGCCTGGACCACTCTAGCAAACCCTGCGCCCCAACTGCTCCTTCCACTCTTGCCCTTTTCTAATCCATTCTGAATAAGGAAGCCATGGTGATCTTCTAAAAAAGCAAATCTGATCAGCAGGTCTCTATTTGTACAATACTCCCTTGGCTTCTCAGTGCCCTTAAGCGAAGCTGGAATCCCACATCGCCCACAATACCTTGCAAGATCTGAAATCTGCTGGCATTTCCAGTCTCATTTTTGCCCACTCCCCTGATGTGTGTTGCACAGTGGCCTTTTCTAGTCCACACTTCTGGTCAGTGTCAGCACTTGTTTCCTGCTCTTGGAAGGTTCTTCATTGATCTCCTGGCTAATGCAGATCCATCTTTCAGGACTCACCAGCTTGCCTGATTCCTCTCCCTCAGTCTTCATTAGATTGTCCCCACTATTTTTCATCATGGAATCCAGTTTAACGTAATTGTATAGCATAGTAATGTATTACCATAATGGCGGCACTTCCCAGGTGGTGCTAGTGGTAAAGAACCTGCCTGCCAGTGCAGGAGACATGCGGGTTCGATCCCTGGGTCAGGATGATCCCCTGGAGGAGGACTTGGCAACCCCCGCCAGTGTTCTTGCCTGGAGAATCCCAGAATCTCTCCCTGGACAGAGGAGCCTGGCCGGCTACAGTCTAGGGAATCGCCAAGAGTCAGACACAACTAAAGCCATGTGGCACGCATGCACACATGGAAGTAAAAAGTTCCTTTGAGCTGTGTTAAGATATTCTTCTAGTTGTGCTGCTCTGCCAATAAGAACCCTCTCTAACTTCTTATTCCCCGTAAGAAAATCCAAACCCCTCAGCCTGGCATGCCGCCACCTCTACCAGCCCAGCCCGTGATGCCTGCCTCAGCTCCCTCTGCTCCACTTTCTGTTCTCGGCTGTAGTCACATTCGTCCCCTCACTGGCCCTGAATGTGCCGTGTGCTCGCCCCCCTACCGCTGTGTGCCCAGGTGCCCAAGCCTGCCTCTTAGCCCATCTGAATCCTGATTATTCTTCCCTTCTCTCCGTTAAACTTATCTAACTCTCAGAGACTGTCACAGTCTGGATTTCCTCTATACCCATGTCCATGTGGCATCTTTCCCACTGCCATCTCGACATGCACTTCTATCTCCAGCTTCCCCAATTAGGCTGTAAATGGCGTTGAGAGCATCCTTTAGGAGAAGGAGCTGGGCTCTTCTTTCCCCCACTGGCTCCTCCAAGCCTGACAGCCAGCTTTCATGGAAAAGCTGCCAAACCCAGCACTTGCCTCGTGGTCCCTGGGACAGGACATGACAGGCTTCGGCATCAGGAAGACCTGAACCAAAGGGGGTCACACACTTCACAACTGACACAGCTCTTCCCCAGCAGTGACTTGTCTTTCCACCTAAGAAATTGTTTCTCTCTTATCAGTGCCTTTCCTGGGGTTCCCTGATCCCGACCCCAGCACCTAATTCATATTCTTGCCAATAAAATGAGTGAAGGCCTTGCCAGTTCCTCTGACTGGGGAGTGCTCGCAGGGTGCCTTCAGGGCTAAGTGGTGGGCGAGGCTTCTTCACCGGTTTCTGCTTTGTTCGGCTCTTAAATTCCGCGTTTGTGTTCTCTGACTGTAATCATGCTTTCATGGAGGACATGGTGGAAGAATTTCGGAGAAACATGGGATATCGACATGCAGGGCTTTCCCTCTGTATGTCTTAGTGTCATACTGACTGAAGTGTCAGTCTGACTGAAGAGATGAATTCCAACCCGTATTTTTTTTACTCCATGTGGGTATAAATAAGTCAGATAAACCAAACAGAATGTCAGACCTATTTAACTTTTCACCATGTCCAAATGTTTGCTTTTCATTTCCTGAAGTATTTCTTGTGAGAAACAGAAAACCCTGGAATATATTCTGAATACTCTGTAAGGAGATAAATTGCCAGGAAACTATAGTTTTCACTTACATACAAACATCAATGTGCCCAGAGAAAGAAGAGCCTGAAACTAAGAGGGATTGAAGCGGGCAGGACCAGACCCGGCTCTGCCGCTAATGGGCTCTCTGACTCTGAGCGAGCTTCTCAACTGCCCTGTGCCTCGGTTTCCCCCTCTGTCAAACAAGGACTAAAATTGTCCTTATGGAAAGGAAAGAGTGCAAGCTAAAGGAGCTCACACACATAAACTGTTTAGCACAGTTCTTGACACGTAAAGGACACAATGCATTTCCTGGTACTTTTTATTCTTCCTACTCAGCTAAACAGACTGGTTCCAAATTGGGAAAGGAGTATGTCAAGGCTGTATATTGTCACCCTGCTTATTTAACTTATATGCAGAGTACATCATGAGAAATGCCGGGCTAGATAAAGCACAAGCTGGAATCAAGATTGGCGGGAGAAATATCAATAACCTCAGATATGCAGATGACACCACCCTTATGGCAGAAAGTGAAGAACTAAAGAGTCTCTTGTAGAAAGCAAAAGAGGAGAATGAAAAAGTTGTCTAAAAACTCAACATTCAGAAAACTAAGATCATGGCATCTGGTCCCATCACTTCATGGGTGAATAATCAATGGGGAAAAATAGAGGGGGAAACAATGAAACCAGTGAGAGACTTTATTTTTCTGGGCTCCAAAATCACTGCAGATGGTGACTGCAGCCATGAAATTAAAAGACGCTTGCTCCTTGGAAGAAAAGCTATGACGAACCTAGACAGCACATTAAAAAGCAGAGACATTCCTTTGCCAACAAAGGTCTGTCTACTCAAAGCTATGGTTTTTCCAGTAGTCATATATGGATGTGAGAGTTGGACTATAAAGAAGGCAGAGGGCCAAACAATTGATGCTTTTGAACTGTGGTGTTGGAGAAGACTCTTGAGAGTCCCTTGGACTGTAAGGAGATCCAACCAGTCCATCCTAAAGGAGATCAGTCCTGAATATTCATTGGAAGGACTGATGCTGAAGCTGAAACTCCAATACTTTGGCCACCTGATGCAAAGAACTGATTCATTGGAAAAGACCCTGATGCTGGGAAAGATCGAAAGCAGGAAGAAAAGGGGATGACAGAGGATGAGATAGTTGGATGGCATCACCAACTCGATGGACATGAGTTTGAGTAAGCTTCGGGAGTTGGTGATGAACACAGAAGCCTGGCATGCTGCAGTCCATGGAGTCACAAAGAGTTGGACATGACTGAACAACTGAACTCAGCTCAACTCAACTAAAATGGGTTCCTGTAACATCTGAGGTGGCTTTTCTCCAGGGGTCTTTTATGTATTCTCTCTTCAGAGTTCGCACCATCCCCGACCCCCTCCCAACCCCTCCACCCCATGTACATTATTTCCTGATTCCTATTTGAGAAGGTAAGTAGGCTCAGCTCATGAGACACACTACCCAAACTCATTCTCCCTGAAAATGGAAAGGCATATCATGTGTATCAGTTACATCATTTTCTTAGGAGGCACTGGTACTGGCATTTTCTTTATCCAGCTTTGAACTTAAAAAAAAAATCATTTATTTAAATTGGAGGATAATTGGTTTACAATATTGTGATGGTTTTTGCCATACATCAACATGAATCTGCCACAGGAACACATGTGTCCCCCCATCCCCCCCCCATCTCTCCAGGTTGTCCCAGAGCACGGCTTTGGGGGCCCTGCTTCATACATCAGACTCGCCCTGGTCATCTGTTTTACATATGGTGATGTATATGTTTCAATGCTTTTCTCTCAAATCATCCCTCTCCTTCTCCCACTGAGTTCCACAGTCTGTTCGCCCGTGCCTCCTTTGCTGCCCTGCACGTAGGATCGTTGGTACCATCTTTCCAGATTCCATATATATGCGTTAATATATGGTGTTCTGACTTACTTCCCTGTGTATAATAGGCTCTAGTCTCATCCACCTCATTAGAACTGACTCAAATGCATTCCTTTTTATGGCTGTGTAATATTCTATTGGGTACCATAACTTCCTTATCCAACCATCTGCCGATGGACATCTAGGTTGCTTCCATGTCCTAGCTATTGTAAGTAGTGAAGCAATGAACATTTTTATTTAACCGACTGCTTTTTATTCCTTTGGCAGAGAGCCACTTCCATCCTTAGAGAGTCCCTGGAGGCCAAAGTGGCCGTGTTTGGTGATTTCAGCCCTGAGGTGGCAGAGACATATCGGCTCCTGGGTGTGGCTGACCTGGCACAGGGGAACCAGACCGGGGCCCACAGGAAACTGAAGAAGGTAAAGCTGTAGCCCGACTAACTCGGAAAAAAATCCTCCTGCCCTTCCTGCCTCTGCACCACACTCTTCTTAAATGAAACTTTACAGGTGGCTTATTTAGGTTAGATGGCATCAGTGTTGCAATTGATCTCAGCTATCACTTTTTGGGGCAAAAGGTACAGAAATCCTCTTGTGCACATAGATTTTTTAATAAATTATCAATTATTCTTTACCATGCAAATAATTTTAAATTTGTAAATAATGTAATTCATCAATGTTATTCTACTCTTTCTGTTCACTCAGTTTACAGAGGAACTCTTCCATATGTTCCTCTAATACTTATGTTTATTTCTTTTTAAATTGGAGTTTGTGTGGATGGCATAAGGTATGGCTCTAATGTTATTTTCTTCCCAAATGGCTGCCCAGTTGTCCAGCACCACTTTATTAAAGAGTCCATCTGTGCTCTAGTGAGTTAAGATAACACTTTCATTATATACTACATTTCCACATGTACTTGAGTCTATTTCCAAATTTCTTGCTATTCTACTTTTTTCTTTGTTTATTTGAATTCCAGTACCTCATTACCTTAATTATAGAGATTTCATAGCATGGTATAGTATCTGGTAGGGTTAGACTCCCCTCATTATTTTTTTATAAACCCCTAGAATATCAGATTTTCTAAATATTCTGGCATGTTTATTTTTCCACATGAATTTTGGTATCACCTTGTCTAGCTCCATTAAAATCTGGTGATATTTTTTGGAGAATTGAGTTACTTATAAATGGGTCTCAGGAGGACTGACATCACTATGATGTTGAGTCATTCTACCAGAGAACAAGGGATGTCTTTATCTGTGTTTATGTCTACTTTAGCCTCATTCAGGAACATTTTAAAGTGTGCCTCATATAGATTCGTACATTTCTTACTAAATTGATTTCTAAGCATTTTATATTCTTTAATGTTATTATAAGTGGAGTTTTATCCACTATTATGTATTTTGACTGGTTATTTTTGTGCAGACAAAGACCATAGGTTTCTCTGTGTTAATTTTATGTTCTGCTAGCTTGCTTCTTTTGTTACTTGAGTTAATTTGAGCACTGATTCTCTCAAGTTTTCCAGGTATACTATATATCATCTGCACACAGTTTAACTTCTGTTTTCCAAATTTTATGCCTCTGATTGATTTATTTTTGTCTTATTGAATTGCCTCATACCTCTAGTACAATAATAAATAATGTTGGAATGATAGGCATTCTCACTTCATTCCTGGTCTTAGTGTAAATGTCTCTAGTGATTCCTCATTTAATATATGCTGGCTTTGGACTAAGATTTATATATTTTATTGTGGTTAGGAAGTATCCAAGAATTGCTATGTTTATGAGTGTTTTTTAATTAGAAATAATTGCTGGATTTTATTTGATAAGATAATTCAGTTTGTCAGCATCAGTGGAGATAATGAGATGATTCTTCTTAGATCACTTAATATGGATGCATTTTATTATAATATCAAACCAACCTTGCATTTTTGGAATAAATCCACTTAGTCCTAATGAATTATTCTCAATGTGATATTGATTTTGTTTGCTAATATGTATTTTTTGCAACTATTTTGTTTTGTACCAATACTTTTAAGTGATATTTGTCCAAATATCAATGTTATTTTACTTCATAAAAATAATTTGGAAGTTTACCTTTATTATCTATGTACTAAACGAGTTTATACAACATTAAAACTATCTAGTCTTTGAAAGTTTACACCACCTGTGAAACTCTTTAGGCATGGTGCTTTTAGTGGGGTGATTTCCTTGATAATTTTCTGTGTTTCTTTTACAAACCAGTTGGTCTGTTGAAGCTTTCTATTTCTAATGGGGTCACTTTGTTAAACTATGTTTTCCCGGCTAATTATCTATTTCATTTACATTTTCAGATTGATTTGCATAAAGATTTGCCAAATAGTCTGATGAACTTTTAAAATTTCTACTTTTTTAATAGTTATTTTCCCATTTTAATTCTTAGTTGGTTTTTTTCACGCTTTTTTCTTGACTGAGTTAGTGGTTTGTCTATTTTGTTAATTATTCTTAGAAATGGGATTTGAATTCCATGGATAAATGGCATTCCAATTCTCTGTTTCACTAATTTCTGATTTTATCTTTATTCTTTCTTTCCTTGTGACTTATTTGTTTTACTCTGTTGGGATTTTTCCAGCCTTTTTGAATTGGGAATTTAATTCATTTGAGTTTTCATTTTTATGATATAAGCATTTTAGGCTATGAATTATCCTCTTATTATTGCTTTAAATGAATTTATAAGTTCTGTCATGTTGTGTTTTCATTACATTAATTAGTTTTTAAACGGTGAAAACCTATTTAAGTAAACTAATTGCCTAAACCAAAAGAATTAACTTTAGTTCTGAGTGAGCTGTCCTTTAAGTCAAGACTTTTTCTCTTTTTATGACTTCTGATTCTGCTGCAAAAGTCACCAGATTTGGTAACATGCATGTTGGCTATTTTTTAACGAGATAATGCATGTTCATTATCAGTCTACAAGTTATTGGATATCTTCTATGGGCCAATTACTGTCGTAGGCAGAATGGGGAAAGACAATGAATAGCCAAGAAAAATATGCCCCTTGTCTTTGTGAGACTTTCTAGTCTAGCCAGGAAGATATATCATACCAACCATTTTAGAGAAGTTAGACATGACACCGAGGCCAAAGACTAACTTGTGGTGAGGGAAAGGTGACGAAGGGAGTTGAGGGTGGCAATTGCTCCGGGTTTCTCCAACCCCCACTTTTAAGCTAATGCTTATTGAGTGACTCTTATGTCCCCAGCACTAAGTTAAATGATTTATCTGTTAACTTATATAAGCCTTATAGAAACCCTAAGATTTGGATACCTCTGCTGTTTTCACAGAGAGGGAAACAGGCTGAAAGGATGTGTCTGGGCCTGGACTGCAAAGCTGGGAGCCGTCAGAGTGGGGATTTAGCACCAAGCAGCCCATACTGTGACATCTACTCTACACTACATCACTCTCCCCTCGTGGGCTTCCAAATAAGAATCTGTTTGAATAGGTGCCTCTTGTGCTTAGAGGAAGTTTGGAAACCAATGGCAGAGTACAGAGAATGCCAAGATCAAGATAAGTAGGAGCCTTTGGGTTGCCACTGACAATATAACACAAATTAGCTTAGGTATAAAGAAGCGTCTATTGTCTTATGGTTTCCAAGGAAGCTCTGACAGGTGTATGATTAGCAGCGCAAAGACCCAGCGGAGCCTCAAGAGAGAGAGTAAAGGCCAAACTCAAGTGGCACCAGGGTGCTGTCTGCTCAGGAGCCCTGCCTGCCTCTCTGCGCCTTCTTCTCCTCCTCGCTCGTGGCAGCGTCTCCCGGGCCAGCAGGGGATGGCGGCCAGCCCTCCAGATCTTTACTTCCCGCTCCCACTGCCATTTCTCAGTCAGAGCTTGGAAGTTCTCAGGCAAAGACTGAGAGGCCAGGCTTGGATCCGGTGCCCACGCTTGACCAATCACCCGAGGCCAGGGGTGTGGTACAGGGTAAGACAATGGTGCCTTTCAGGCCGCTGGGTGGCCCACAGTGGAGGGGGCGCAAAAATCACTGTCCTTTGATCAGACAACCTGGAACAGGGTCACTAGAGCCCCTCCCTATTTGGGGGCATGTGCAGTAATAGGCTTGCCACAGCCCCTACCCTTAAGAGAGTCTAGGCGAATCCCCTAACTCTGACACTATGTGCTCAGTTCTGTGCTACAGGTTCACACTACGATCAGCGGGAGGAAGGGGATTAGAGAAGGTAGCCAGATAAGTAGTCCTAAAAAAGAGCATTGCCGAGCAGAGAAGGGAATTCCCACGCCAGAAACAAGGTGGAAGGGGAGACTCAGGAATATGATAGAGGCTCCTGTTTAAGAAGCTGTTTCTGTGTGGCCCCTAAGTTAAAAATGGTTTTTACAGATGATTATAAAATCTGTAATCATTTCACAGGTGATCATAAATTGATTTGATGGTGGAGAACACTGACTTTAAACCCAAGCTAAGTGAAATTTTGTGCTGTTGGTTCAGTCGTGTCCGACTCTTTAAGACCCCCCGTCCATGGGATTCTCCAGGCAAAGATATTGGAGTGGGTTGCCATTTCCTCCTCCAAGTGAAATTTTATCCCCCTGCAAAAAAAAAAAAAGAAACCCATTATTTTCACTAGTAGAACTAGATTACCAAAAATAATGTACTTATTATTATTATACCTTAAATTTTGCCTACAAATGTTTGTTCCCTCTCTTACTAGGTAAGTACCAACATAGTAGCTCGATTTCTATCTCTTGGCCTACAAAACCTACAATATTTACCACCTGTCCTTTGCATAAAAAAATTTCTGAACCCGGCTGTAACATCTGGGAGCCACTGATGGAATTTTAAGCAGGGCTCAGTCACTCTATATTTGTTTTTTGGGCTTTTTTTTTTTTTAATCACTGTGAGGACAGTGTTGGAAATGGAATGGGGTGGCCCAAGAATTGAGGCAAGAGGCCTCTGTCATCTCACCTGTAAAGTGGAGATAACAGCAACACGGAACCCAACTTCCCTCCCACGGTTGTTCTGACGCAGGGATGAGACGAGGCCAGCGGGGCTACTCTGGTCAGGGCTAGGCCTGGGTGCAGAGCGCAGGATGCCCAAGCGCCCAGGTGGAGCTATTCCAGCTGAGGCATCACCCCCCGCCCCACAGGAGCCTCCTCTCTGCTCCCCCTTCCTCATTTCTCCCCTGAGCAGTGAAGATGAGAGGGAACACCTCTGCCGAGGGTTCAGCTCAGTCAACTCCAGGCAGGGGAGGGGACCCAGGAGTGCTGGAAGGCAGCAAATGTCAGTGGACGAGCAGGCATTTGAATTGAGGCCACACAAGCCTTCATGTCACCCTGCTGACTCCGGAAGGGCTGCTTTGGTTCCACTACTGACCACGCACTGGGGCCCAGGCTTGCTGCCGCTGGGGCAGCTAATACATCACTTCCAAACCTCACAGCAGCCCCCCAGGTCAGACCTTGGTAGCTGTGATGTACAGGCAAGGGGCCTGAGGCTCTTAGAAGTTGTAAATTATCTATGGACAAGTTACCATTAAGTAAAGCCCACATTTTCCTCAATGCCACTGGTTTGCCAAGCATTGGTTTCAAACCCCTGTATCAGGGGGTTTGAAGCAGAATCTGGGGCAAAGCATGAGGGGCCCAGGGACCTGCAATTTAGCTTAAGTTGAGAATCACTGCTCCATGCTCAGGCTCACCCATGGGGCTGGAAATCAGCTCAGCGTCAGGAAACTTCAGGCTTCATCACTCCCAGAGTCTGCAGTGGAAGTTGCTGACGTGTTTTCCTTTAGTTTGACCTCATTAACCATCAGTTCTGAATACAATGACTTTGACATTTTAAAGCTATCTGCCACTTGCCAGAGTCAGAGAGAAAGGGCAGAAACGTATGCTGCACGTTTTGCCGGTTGTGGTACACACAGGTCTCATTTCCACTCCCACCCACCTGAGGACAGGACTGGTCACTCCACAAACACCAGGGCACACACAGGCTTTGCTGAGCTGGGCTTTCTCAGATGACATATTTAGCGTGGGGCTCTCTAGAGCCAGCAGCAGCTCTCTAAAGCTCCTGGCCCAGTGTTCCTGTTATTTCACCACCACAACAGCTGCCCATCCCCCCCCCCCCCCCCCCC